TTCCTCCTCCCCCCCTCCCCCCATCATCATCATCATCATCATCATCATCATCATCATCATCATCATCATCATCATCATCATCATCATCATCATCATCATCATCATCATCATCATCATCATCATCATCATCATCATCATCATCATCATCATCATCATTATCATTATCATTATCATCATCATCATCATCATCATCAGCATCAGCATCATCATCATCATGATCATCATCAGCAGCATCAGCATCAGCATCGGCATCGGCATCATCATCAGCATCATCATTACCATCGCCATCATCACCGTCATGACCATCATCATCATCATCACCATCATCATCATCATCATCATCGTCACCATCAGCATCATCATCATCAGCAGCATCATCGTCATCATCATCGTCATCATCATCGTGATCACCATCATCACCACCATCATCGTCATCGCCATGCTCATCCTTGCCCCTGTCGGCCGAGCAGTGCCTCCTCCACCTCCTCTTCCTCCTCCTCATCGTCATCCTCCTTTTCCTCGTCCTCCTCATCCTCCTCCTCCCCCTTCTCCTCCTTCGTCTCCTTCTTCTCCTCCTTCCCCCCACCCGCCGCTGGTACTGATGCGTTCCCTGTCGACTGGGTGGCGCCTCGAGGCCGACCACGCCTGAAAGCGAGCCAGCGGCGAGGCCGCGACTCGTCCGTCCCACACCCTCCTCCCCCTCCCCCTCTCCTTCCCCTCCCCCCCTCGACAATTGCACTATATATATATATATATATATAATATGTCTACTGTTCTCCTCTCTCCCCTGACGACATCCTGAAGATATTCGGCCCCCCTCCGCGTACTGCTTTCTTACACAGGATTCCCGGGAACTGGCTTTTCGCTGGATTTTGTTTTCGACATGTTGTTCCCGCTGAAGCGCTGGCCTCATTGTCGGCCTTCCGCTCGTTCCGAATCGTGCTCCCGCTGCAGCGTTGGCCTCATTTCCGCGCTTCCGCTCGTTCAGAATCGTGCTCCCGCTGCAGCGCTGGCCTCACTTGCTGGTTTTCATATGTGTTGTTGGCAATCCGATTCTTGTCGGTCTTTCAAAATGTTGCTCCCGCTGCAGCGCTGGCCCCATTTCTGCGCCTCTGGTTGTTCCAAAACGTGCTCCCGCTGCAGCGCGGGCGTTTTCGGTCCTTCGAAATAGGCCCCAAGTTAAACATTACCCCCTATTAAAACCCATCGCGGTGCCGATTCGTTGAGTTCTTGGGCCGCAGAAGGTCCCACTTCGGGGCGGCGGTGTTTGGAGCAAGTATCAAGCGGGAGCCCCGTTTCTGCCTTCAGAAGGCGATATTGCCAGCAGAGCCAGTGGGTGCTTTCCATGAGCCCCGCCTTGTGGGGAGTTTGTCGCGGAGCCCAGGGAGCTAAACATAGAGCCGCGACTCCAGACCAGCCCCGACCCTTCGAAGACTATCTACTTACCCTCCAAGGAACCTGGTGCCCTGCCATGACATGTCGTGCGGTGTTCTGCTCCGCGCTGTTGTGCGATGCCATGCTTTGCGTTGCAATGTTTTGTGGTGCAATTCTTCACTACGCAGTGCCACGCCATGCTATGACATCATACGCTCTGTCATGCGTTTCTACGCCTTGCCATGCCGTGCTCTACGATGCATCGCGCACCCTCTCGCGATCGTCGATCATTGCCCCGCTCGACATCCAGCTGTGCCATGAGGTGGAGATGGGATCTACCCCGTGGTAAGGGATGGGAGGAAGTGGTAGGACGTCATAGATGACGCGAGCGCACCTAGCTTGCCTCTCCCCCCTCGCCCCTCCCCCCTCCTCCTCCTTCCCGTCCTCCCCCTCCTCCCCCTCCTCCCCCTCCTCCCCCTCCTCCTTGCCCCTCATCCTCCTCCTCCTCTTCCTCCTCTTCCTCCTCCTCCTCCTCCTGGCAGTCGCGAAGGTGGAACTCCGAAGAGCCGATCTGCAGGAAGATCCCGAGGAGCATCTTCATGGACGACCTCTCCCACCCCATCTTGGAAGAGTGCCAGCGCATCGCTGGGATCGGCGACTTCGGCGTGTCGGGCGGAGCTATGCTCGCGGCGCATGCGGAGCTGGAGCTGGCGACTTGTTGCCGGCAGGCGGCGGCGCGCGCGGTGCGCGACCTGCAGCTGCGCGATCGTCCGAGGATGCGTGAGAGCCGCTCGTTGCTGCTTTGTTCTCTGGCGCGCGCTGTCTGGCGTCGGGATGCTCGCTTGGGCAACGTTACCTGGCAAAGGCATCAGTGGCTCCGCTCCTTTTTCTCCGTCGATGTGCTGTCCTCGTCCGTCGTCCGCACCTCTCCTGACGCCTTTGCGCGTGCCCGCTCGGATCTGCAGTTTCAGGAGGCCCAGGCCGAAGCCGCGCGGCTCCAGAGGGCCGAGGGTGCGTCAAGGGCGCCTGGACGTCAAGCGCGTCTTCGTGCGCATTGGACGGCCCCCCGCAGGCGAGCGCAGATCTGGTCTCCGTTCAGCCGTAGGCGTTATCTGGCGGGGGTGGTGGAGGGCGGGGCGGACGTTGTCCAGACCTTTGCGAGGGCCAGACAGCGGCTCCTCGCGAACACTGGGGTCCCATGTTTGAAAAGCAGCAATCGGTCCCTCGGTCGGGCCAGAAGTACCTGTCCAAGTTTGCCCCTGAGAAGGACTTCTCGGATCTTCCCCCTCCCTCCCTTCGCTCGGTCCGCCGTTTTATCCGCCGCGCGTTGCACTCGGAGCCAGGTCCTACTGGGTTTGCATACGCCACCTGGGGACGTGGCCAAGGTCCCAAGGTGCTGTTAAATGTTTTCCACTGGCTCGCTAGCGGACAGCGAATGCACCTGTCGTTCTATTCGTGTCTGCATGTATTCATCCCGAATGGGGCTCTGGAAGACGACGATGAGCACACTGGGGGGGTGGTTCGGCATGGACGGCACACCCGCCCCATGTGTACCAGAAGCATGAGTAACAAAATCATAACTGGGGTCGCCAACATGGGTTTGACGGGGGTTGTGAGAGAGGTTGGCGCCCCTGCGCAGCGAGGCTTCATCCGAGGCCGCAACTTGTTCTCTAATGTTTACGAGCTTGATGCCCATGCTCGCCTCGTTAACGCACGCGCGTTCCCTGAAAATTCGCCTGTGAGTTTGCGCAGGCCTTCCCGTCTGTCAGCCAGCAGTGGCTCATGTTTGCGCTGAGGCAGATTCACATTCCCCGCGGGTGCCTTCTCGCGGTCCAAGACTTCTATTATCTCAACCTTTGTCGCCTCTCCGTTCGAGGCCTCCACCCCCACCTCTTCTTTATGATCTCAGGTGCGCTGCAAGGGTGCCCGTTAAACGGCAGCGTCTTTGTCATTGTGATCGGTTTCTTTCTCAGGGGCATGTTTCGTAGCGTGCAGCTGCCAGGACATGGAGAGACCCGCGCGAGTGCCGATGACATTGGTGTGGTTCTCTCCTCGCGTAAGGGATATCGTGAGACGGTCCGCGTTTTCCGCATTGCTGAGCACCTCACAGGCTTACCTCTCAAGGCTGCCAAATGCTGCATCGGTCCTCTCAGCGCTGCCCATTCATACAGCCTCGAGCGCGATGTGCGCTACCTCGTTTGTGAGCGCTCACATCCTCGCCCAGATGCCGTCATCCAGTCTGGTTCGGCCTGTTGGGATGAGTTCGAAGTCGCGTCGGAGGTTCTGTGCTTGGAATTATGGCTCGGCCTTGGGGCCGGGGCGCTTCGGAACATTCGAGCTCCTCTCAACAAGATGGCCGTTCGGACCAAAACCATCGCGGATGTCAGGCACGATCTCACGACGGGGGTCCAACTTTACGGTCAAAGAGCATTCAGGGTGCCCTCGCACGTTCCGCAGCTTGTTCCGACCCAATTGGGAGCAGGTAAGATTCGAGCGGCAGTGTTTGGCCCAGGTTTTCAAATGGTCGATGTCGGCCTTCCGCTACTCAGACTGGTTCAACCTCGGCGCCTGGAATGGCCCGCGCGTTTGGTCTCTCTTTATCGCCGCTGCCGCCGCTGCCAGGCGCAGTGCGCTGGTCACCCTTTCCCAGTGGCCCGAGGTGCTATGCGCGACGTGTGAATGGCTCATCGACCACTGTCCGATGGCGCTATGGAGCTCGCCTCTCCTCGCTCCTCATGTCTGGTAGTCCCCCCTCTTGTCCTGCACCTTGAAGCCGCTGCGGCGGGATCCCCTGGGAACCGACGGCTTCGTGTCGGGGGGGGGGCTCGAGCTCTGAGGCGTTTCGAGGAAGGCTCGTCGGTCCCCAAGCCCAAGTGGCAACGGATCTTTGCTGAGGGGCTGCGCGCAGCCGTTGTTTCGTTTCCTCTAGAGGAGCTACTGACGGGTCGGCTGCGCAAGTGGTTCCTTCCCCACTTCGGGGGGTGGGGAGTTGGACTGGGAAATTGCTCGCTCGAGCATGCAAGAATTGCGGCCGCCATGGCCTCCCATCCTGCTGCGCACATGGCTTGGCGCCTGGATCACAGGCTCTCGCATGTAACGTCGGCAGCAGTGCACCTTTGGCTGCGATGACGAGGGCTCGGCGACGCATCACGTCTGTCACTGCCGTCGTCTTCATTATCATTATGCCCCCGTCCTTCGTTCCGATCTCCCCTGTTCCGCTTAGCTCGCTTAGGACTTCGCGGAGCTTTCGTTGTCACCATCGCGCTGTATCATGCGTTTCGCCTCGCCGCGGCCCGCGCAGGGAGGTCAGGACCGCCGCTGGACCCGACGGAGGCGCGGCCCTGCAGGCCCCCGCGCGCGCAGCGCTCCGCCTCCCCCTCCGAAGTCGCCAGTCTGACTTCCTCGACCCTGGCAAACTTCGGGGGCGAGTTGCGGAGCTCCGCGAGTCGTGGGGCGACGAGACCTCAGGGGGAACGCTGTGCCTCCTCCTCCCTCTCCTCCCTCTCCTGCTCTCTCCTGCTCTCTCCTCCTCCCCTGGTTCTTTTTGTTCCTCTTCCTCCCCTCCTCCTCCTACCTCTCCTCCTCCCCCCTTCTTTGTCTCCTCCTCCTTGCCCCGACGTCGCCAGGATCACTGTGACCCCCCGCCAGGTTGGAGGTCGTGCTCGGAGGCCCCGCCGCCGCGCTCGCGCGCGGCCCGTGGCCCCCAGCCGCGGCAGCGGCCGAGCGCGCGCCCCATTCCGCAGGGGAGATGTTTGTCGGCCTTTGGTCTCCATTGTTTATTTTTGATGAGTGAGTGTGCGTGTGGGTGCGCGTGTGGGTGTGTGTGTGTGTGTGTGTGTGCGTGCGTGCGTGCGTGCGTGCGTGCGTGCGTGCGTGCGTGCGTGCGTGCGTGCGTGTGTCAGTGTGTGTTGTGTGCTGTGTGCCGTGTGTTTGTGCTTGTAAGGAAGCTGTGAGTGCAGAAAGACTTCTGTCCCTGTCAAGGGGCCCTGCTGGTAACTTCTATGATCCGTGCCACGAGCTGGTTGCGCTCAGGGGCTGCCAGCGCTGGGGTCAGGCGCCCGCCTGGCACGCCGCCCAGCCGAGACGCCCCGCGGTGGGTGGCCCTCCTCCTCGTCTCCTACTCCTCCGCCTCTTTCTCCTCCTCCTCCTCCTCCTCGCCCTCATCCTCCTCCTCCCTAATCCTCTTCCTTGTCCTCCTCCCCCCTCCCTCCCTCCCTCTCTCCTCCTTCTCCTCCACCTGGTTTCCTTTCGGCTGGCCAGTCAAAGGTCAAGCACGGGCGCTCGGGGTGGCAGGTCCCCCTCTCCCGGCGTGGGTGACCCTCCTCCTCGTCTCCTCCTCTGCCTCCTCTTCTTGCTCATCAGTTAGATTCTCGTTTGGGGCACCTTCTTGGAGCCCACTTAACGGATTTGTTCGATTCCAGTTCGGCCGCAGTTCGGCTCGAGTTCAACTCAAGCTCGACTCAAGTTCGACCCCGGTTCGACTCAGGTTCCACTCAGGATCGATTCAAATCGACGGACGGCACGAGTGGAACGAGTGGCTCCAGGAAGGTCCCCAGAACGAGCATCCAACCTCAGCTCTCTCTGTCCCCCTTGTTTGGCTCTATCGCATAGCCTGCGTGAGCTGTTGAATTCTCTCACGCATCCGCTCGCCTAGCGCAGGCATTTTTTCTTGCACGCGACTGCCGCCCACGACGGTGCGGTCACTTTACCGCTGGATGAAAAGTGCCCGCGTGGGTGCGGGAGCTGCTCGACCGACCTGACCGTGCGACGGGTCCGCGACAAAAACGTGTTTGTGCGTGTGCGTGTGCGTGAGCTGTGCGTGTGCGTGCGTGCGTGAATGAATTCATTTGTGTGTGTGTGTGCGTGTGAGTTGCTGTGTGAGAGAAAGTGAGTTGCTGTTGTTGTTGCTGCTGTTGTTGCTGCTGTTGAATTCTCATTTCTAGAGAAAAACTATTGTTGATCTCCAGAAGAGTTTCCGCGCGCTCTCGCCTCGACGCCGGCTACATTTTCGCTGAAAACGAGGCTCCCGCTCGAGTCTTTGGCTTGACCCTACATGTGGGCCCTTGGAGGACCAGCTACGACAACAACGGCTCCCGCCCGATACCTCCTCACAAGTTACCCCGAGACACCCTGGCCAAATAGGCCCCCGAACTCAGGAACGGCGCTCTTGCTCGAGACTTCCTCGCAATTCATTTAAGTTGGCGGAGGCCCAGCCACGACGACAAGGGCTCCTGCTCGATACTTCCTCACGATTTACTCCGAGAGCCCCTGGCCAAGAAGGCCCCCGAACTCAGGAACTGCGCTTTCGCTCGAGACTTTCCTTTAATTCAGGCAAGCTGGTGGAGGCCCGGACAGGGCGACAAGGGCTCCCGTTCGATATTTCTCCATCGGTATTCCGAAAGCCCTTGGCCAGACAGGCCCCCGAAGTCAGGAACGGCGCTCTCGCTCGAGACTTCTTCGCACTTCAGTCAGTGGCCGACAAGGAAGAGATTCCCCCCGAAAGGGGGTGCAATCGAAGACGAAGTGGGCGGGTATCGAGGGTTGCGGTATACGGAGTGCAAGACGCGTGCCGAGTAATAGCGAACTGTCTCAAAATGATTGTCGCTGTTGTTGTTGTTGTTGTTGTTGTTGGTGGTGTTGGTGGTGTTGGTGGTGGTGGTAGTGGTGGTGTTATGTGTGCGTGCGTGCGTGAGTGTGTGCGTGCGTGCGTGTGTGTGCGTGTGTGTGCGCGTGTGCGTGCGTGTGTGCGTGTGTGCGTGTGTGTGCGTGTGTGTGTGTGCGTGTGTTTGCCCCTCCCCGCCATCCTGCCTGGATGGCTGCTGCGGGCTGCGAAGATCTAAGTGGTCTCTGAGAGCTCGGCCGGGCGTAGACGCGCGCGTTGCGCTGCCTGCGCTCGAATTTCTACGCCCCGTCGCCGCGCGCGGGGCCGCGACGCCAAAAAACGTGTGTGTGTGCGTGTGTGTGTGTGTGTGTGTTTGCGTGTGTGTGTGTGTGCGTGTGTGTGTGCGTGTGTGTGTGTGTGTGCGTGTGTGTGTGTGTGGGTGGGTGTGCGTGTGCGTGCGTGTGCGTGTGCGTGTGTCTGTGTGTATATGTCTTTGTGTGTTCGTGTGTGTGTGCATGTGTGTTTGCCTGCGTGTAGCGTGCGTGTTGTGTGTGTGTACGTGTGTGTGTGTGTGCGCGCGTGCACTCGTGTGTGTGTGTGTGTGTCCGCAGTCTGGCTCGAGGCCACGAGCGGGACCCCTCCTCGGTCTCCCGCACTCGGGGGGGCGCCTGCGGCCTGTCCCCCCCCCGCCGGCGCCCGGTCCCCCGGCGGCCGGCCCGGGCGCCCCGCCCGGCTCGTGGTCCCGATGGGCCAGGAGGGCGGCCGGCATTTGTGTGTGTGTTGTGCGCGTGTTTCGTGTACGCGTTGTGTGTGTGTGTGTGCGTGTGCGTGTGCGTGTGTGTGTGCGTGTGTGTGTGTGTGTGTCTGTGACTGTGTGTGCGTCTGTGTGTAACTGTGTGTGGCTGTGTGCAACGGTGTGTGTGGAACTTTGTGTGTGGTTGCGCCTGTGCGTGTAACTTTATGTGCGTGTGTCTGTCTTTAACTGTGTGTGTGTGTGATTGTGTGCGTCATTCTGTCTGACTATGTTTCTCACTGTGCCTGACAAATACACTTCTCCTTATTACAAGCAGCACGTTTCTAGTTTGTTATTGGTGTGTAATGCGTACCCAAGAGGCATTGCTACCTCTTGTTGTGTGTGGGAGGAGGGGCTGGCGGCTTCTAAGATCGCCGCGGTTGGATTCCCTCCAGGATCCTGGCCAGATCGCGCCCCAGCGCAAGTATAAGGGATCGTTTTTTTACCCGCGACGGGTGGGCAGCCCAGCAGACAGCTGGTGGCTCGAAAGCTCGGGGCGGCCAGTTCTTGGCCACTCTGGGCCCCTGGAGGCCGGCTTCGGATCCCGGCACCACCGAAGAGCATGCCGGAAAGGCAGAAAGGCCCCCCCAGGTTGGCGGAGGGGTCCCGGGCCTAGCGTTTCGAGGCAGATCGAGGTGGCAGGCTCTTGTGGAGCGCGGGGCGCATGCGGAGCACCCTAGGCCCTAGGAGCGCACGATCCACGCGAGGGGTGTGCCGGACTGGGCGAGGGCAGGAGGAGGAGGAGGAGGAGGCGGAGGAGGAGGAGGAGGAGGAGGCGGAGGAGGAGGAGGCGGAGGAGGAGGACGAGGACGAGGAGGAGGAGGAGGAGGAGGAGGAGGAGAGGGCGAGGAGGAGAGCCGAGGTGAGGACGGGGCGCGCGGCGCTGCGGAGAGGAGAGGCCGGGACCCAACTCCGCAGGGGTGCCGGGAGCAGGCCACTGAACGGGGTAGCCTGCGGGAGGCAGGCCCGTGCGCCCCAGAATGTGCCCCAGGACCAGCTCGTCTTCCTCCTCCTCCTCCTCCTCCTCCTCCTCCTCCTCCTCCTCCTCCTCCCTGGGGCCCGTGGAGGGCCCTCAGGGGCCCGATGGCGGCGAGGAGCTCCCGGTGCCCTTGCCCTTAGGACCTGTCTCCTTCGTGCGGACCGTCGGGAGACATCAGCTGGCCACTCCTAAGAAGCTAATTCTTTCATGAGGGGCCTTGGCTCAGGATGCGATCCAGGGTTTGAAAGTGTCTAGCGTCCCCCGTTTCTGCAGCCCGTGTGGAGCGCTAGGATCTCGGAAGGTGTTGAAAGCTTGCCAACCTTGGAAATCTTGGAACGTATCGCCATCATGATTGCTTGCTCCTCTAAACCTCACCAGTTCTGGCCGGGTCCATCCGGGCCCGAGATCGGAGGGGTGGTCAGTTGGCGTCCCCGATGTTGGCGGCCGCGAGGTCCACACGGTCGCCTTCCACCCTTTCAAGGTGCTCGACGAGTACAGGGAGTGCGCCGGGCGCTCGGAGGGTGCGCGCGCGCGTTTCTTAACTGGCCCGTTGCGCTTGTATCGCCACCTCTGTCCCTCCCAGGCCACAGTTCATTGCATGAGCTTGGCTTTGGCGGGTCGGCTCGTGTGGCGTTCCTGTTTTGTCGGGCGATCCTCTGCTTCATGCTGCTGTCCTTGCCACTCCGCAGTGAGATTATGTGGTCGCGCACTCCGCATCTCTCCCCCGTCTGAATAGCTAGAACTCCCCGAGACGTTTGTTTGCTCTTACACGCGTGTGAATTAGCAGCTCCGCAGCCCGGTTTTGCTCAACGCGCGAGCAGATCGCCTCTGCCGCGCCGCGACGTGTGAAGTTTGCTGTGCTTGCTTTCTTGTGCTGTCAGCGAGGGCGGGGCGCCCCAACCCGTAGGTTTAAATCGGGCATGCCCCTCTACAGGGGGGGTGTTGAATAATAGTACAGGAACAGCAATAGTTCGGTGACGATTTGTTGTGCTCTTTTTGAGTATGTTTGGTTTTCTTTGACTATTGTTTTGTTTTTCCAGAACCCGCCTGTAGGAGGACATGCCCAAACTAACAGTAGGTCACGACCCCCCCATGCCCCCCCTCATCTTGGCATCGCTCGGACGTGTGCATTTTTCCTTCGGCGAGGACCATCGAGGAGCATCCTTGATCATTTGGCGAGAAAGCCACGCGCGAAACCGACAAAAAAGTACAGGACATGGACGTCCGAGCGATGGCCAGTCATAACGCCCGCCCCCCTTCGGGCGGGGCCGTGGGCCCCGCGGGGCCCCCCCGAGAGCCACGAAGGGGCCCTGAAGGGGCGGGTGGTGTGGGGCAGGGGTCGAGGGGGACCCAGACCTCCTCGAGTCATGAAAAAATCACGACGGAAGGTTTTTCATTATTTTTGGTCTTTGGGGGCCTTTACCGGCCCTCGGGACCGTCAAAAAACGACTCAGGACGAAAAACTGGTCCTGGGGAATGGGTCGAGACCTCGGGGGGTCGACGTCATGAAAAAATCAGGACGTCGGGGGTCTGGGGAGGTGCCCTTGCCCCAGGGAGGTCTTGGGCTGGCCTCGGGCAGGACTGAGGCTCCTTCCGGATGGAGTCGGATTCCATGGGATCTCTCGGAACCCCTCCTCCGCAGGATCCCCGAGGACTCCTCGGGATCCGAGCCCTGGCTTGTTCCCTGACTCCACGCCTGGTACTCCGCAGCCTCCGCCAGCCTCCGTCCCTAACGCGCACCCGAGTGCTCCACAGCCTGTGTCTCCGAGACGTCTCCCTCCGTGGACTTGTACTAAAATCCCAAGCCCGCCCGCCGCCCGCCACCGCCGCCTGTGGCCGCCCTGCCCGCCGCTCCCCGACACCACGCCCAGAGCTCCGCAGCCTCCGTCTCCAACACAACACCCCAGTACTCCACACCTTCCGCCTCCAGGGGACGGCTCCCCTGGGAGTTGCACTCGGATCTCCAGCCCGCCCGCCACCGTCGTCGCTGGTCGTCCTCGTCGCTGGTCCCTGCCGCCGTCCTCATCGTCCGCGACCGGGCCCAGGCCGCCCTGGGCCCCGACGGCTCGAGGCGGCCCAGGAGGCCCCCAAGATCGCCCGCCTGGCCTCCAAGATGGCCCCGCCGACGGCCCGAGAGGCCCCCAAGACGGCCCCGCCGACGGCCCGAGAGGCCTCCCAGACCGCCAAGGTGGCCCCCAAGACGGCCACGAGGGCCTCGGGCGTAGGGCTCCGGCCTCTGGGCGTCGGGCCCTGGGCCCCCCCGGCTGCGGCGGGAGAGGATCTGGACTCTGGGCGCCGCGCCCTGGGCCCCAGGACTGCACCGCCGAGGCCCTCGTCTCCGGACCTTGGGCCCCGTTGGGCCCCAGGCCCCGGGGACCTGCTTCTCTCCCGCCCCCTCCTCCTTCCCCCTCCTCCTCCTCCTCCTCCTCCTCCTCCTCCTCCTCCTCCTCCTATCCGGTGGGGTCGAAAAACGAGTGGGTGCTGCCGAGTCTGCCCACGCCTCGCTCGCAGACCGCTTCTCGGACAATCTCCAGGACTTCATCGGGAAGGGGGTCTTCATGGACAAAGATGCTGACACGCTGTCGGTCGACTGGGAGGTCATCGCTCGCGTCATCGTCGACCCGTCCGACCCGCCTAAGGTGCAGTGGAATATGGGCGCTCTTTCTGATCTCCGCTTGGTTCGTGCCGACCTGGACAGGCTCGCTAACGAGCTCTTCCTGCCCAAGCGTATCGAGTGGAGTGGGTAACACGTTTTGCAACACTGACCAGCTGATCTTCAACAGCTGGAACTGTCGGGCTCTTCTCCATCACCAATCCTCCGTCATGGCCCGCAAGGCCGACGTCCTGCACTCTCTCCTCTCGCCATCCTCTATCACGGCTCTCCAAGAAGTTCATGGTCCCCCTGCCGCTGTCGAGGAGCTTCTCTCGCGTCGTCGAGGAGAGGTCGCGGTTTTTGGCTCTGCGGGCTGCGGCGGCGTCTGCACTCTCATCCCCGCCCCCCTCTTGACGGACCTCCAGGTCACGCCGCTGGAGATCGTCCCTGGGAGGGCGCTCTGCCTCAAGCTCATCCACAGGCGATCTGGCTTTTGCTGGTACCACTGGAATTTTCACAATCATGATCTCGATGCGAAGGACTTCGACGCCATCTGGCATGAATTTCGCCCCAGCTTGAGCAGGTCCGACTCGACCCCCTAAAGTTCAGTATTCTCATGATCGGCGACTTCAATCTCGCCGATGAGGAGGTCGACTACTCCACAGCCGAGCTGATCTACGTTCGCGGCCGCCCTCGGCGCCCTGCTTATGGCCAAGCTGGCTCCGCTGCGGCTCGTGCCTCCGCAGGTCGCCAGTCTCATGCTGGGCGCGCGAGATGGAGGGGGATCTTTCGGCAGCTCACGGAGCTCGTTGCGCCTGGCCTCAGTCATTTTCATGTCGGCACGCGCACGGGCTCCCGCATCGACAGGTGCTTCACGGCTACGCCACCTTGGCTTCTCTGCCAACTCTGGCAATGCGCTCGGCACCGCGGCGAACCGCAAGAGTTCCATGATGCGCTCCTGTCCGACCACGTCCCGCTTGAGGTCTCATGGCAGTCGCGGGGCTGGGAGTCCGAGGGTGAGCCGCGCTCTCGGAAGATACCTCGGAGCATCTTCTGCGATCCTCTCTATGCGCCGATCCTCGAGGAGTGCGAGAAAATCGCTGGCATCGGCGAGTTCGACACGTTTGCCTGCTCGTCCGCGAAGGACCTCCACTTCTCGGCGCCGGCGGAGCTGGAGATGGCGACCCGCTGCAGACAGGCGGCTGCTCGTGCTGTTCGAGACCTGCAGCTGCGTGACCGCCCCAGGGTGCGCGAGGGCCGCTCGCTGCCCCTGCGCTCTCTAGCTCGGGCTGTCTGGCGTCAGGACTCTCGCTTGGGAAACATTCTATGGCAAAGGCATCCGCGGCTTCGCTTTTTCTTTTCGGTGGACTCGTCGTCCTCGTCTGTCGTCCTCTCCTCTCCTGATGCCTTTGCCCGAGCGCACTCCGATCTGCAGCTCCAGGAGGCCCAGGCCGAAACCGAGAGGCTCCAACGGGCCGAAGGGGCCTCCAGGGCGCACGGTCGCTGTGCTCGTCTCCGATCCCAAGCGAGAGCCTTAAGACGTCTTGCCCAGATTTGGTCCCCATTCAATCGGAGGCGGTATTTGACGGGAGTGGTGGAGGGGGGTCTCGACGGATCTGCTCCGACCGCTCGCGCCTCTGCCGAGGGCCAGACGGCGGCCCTCGGGGCTTACTGGAGCCCTATTTTTGAAAAGCTGCAGGAAGTTCCGCGACGGGGCCAGCGCTATCTCTCTAAGTTTGCTTCCGAGCAGGATTTCCCCCCGCTTTCTCCTCCCTCGCTCTCCGCGACCCGACGGTTTATTCGACGTGTTTCGCACGCGGAGCCTGGCCCTGATGGGCTAGCGTACTCCGCTGGGGGGTTCGGCCAGGGCCCCCAGGTCCTTTTAAACGTCTTCCACTGGTTGGCGAGCGGCCAACGGATGCATCTCGACTTTCATGCACGTCTGCAGGTTTTCATCCCGAAGGGAGTTCTCGATGGCGACGACGAGCGCTCTGGAGGGGTAGTCCGCCACGGGAAGGACACCCGCCCCATCGGCTTGAAAAACACGTGCAACAAGATCGTTGCTGGGGTCGCCAACTCGGGTCTGTCTGGGGTGGTGAAGAAGCTTGGCGCCCCCGTGCAACGAGGCTTCATTCGAGGCCGCAACTTTTTATCGAATGCATGCGAGCTCGATGCGCACGCGAGACTCATTAGTGCACGTGAGCTACCAGAGGGTGCCATTTTGGCCTTCGACTTTGCCGAAGCTTTCCCATCGGTCAGTCAGTCCTGGCTGATGCTTGCGCTGCGGCAGATAAAGCTTCCTCGCGGGTGCTCGCTCGCAATTCAGGGCTTCTACCACCTCAATCCTTGTCTCTTCTCTGTTCGAGGCCTCCTTCTCCCTCTCTTCTTCGTGATCTCAGGTGTGCTGCAAGGATGTCCTCTCAGTGGCAGCCTCTTTGTCATTGCGATTGATAGTTTCTTGTGGGATATGTTCCGCAGTGCGCAGAGGCCTGGTCACGGTCAGATTCGGGCACGCGCCGACGACATCGGCGCCGCTCTCTCTCTTCTCGGAAAGGTTACCGCGAGATGGCCCGAATTTTCCGCATTGCCGAACATCTCGCGGGGCTCATGCTCAAAGCCGAAAAATGCCGTGTCGTTCCTCTACGTGCTGCTCTCTCCGAGAGCCTCGTGAGCGACTTTCGCCAGCTCCTCCGTGAATGCTCGTGCCTCCGTCCAGGAGCCACCATCTCCCCGAGTTCGGCCTGCTGGGAGGAATTCGAAATCGCGTCCGAGGTTTTGTACTTGGGGTTCTGGCTGGGGCCGGGGGTCGATCCGTTACGCAACCTTCGAGCTCCTCTCAACGAGATAGCCACTCGGACCAGAGCGATCGCGGATGTGAGGCAGGACTTAACGACAGGGGCCTCTCTTGATGG